ATGTGGCAAGCCCGAAGGACGTTAATGTGGCAAGCCCGAAGGACGAAAATGTGGCAAGCCCAGAGCTCGCTCCAGTGTGCCCGCCGGCCGCTCAGCATTGCTGGACATGGCGCTGCCCCTGGAGTTCACTGCTCCTATCCTCACCCCAGTGTCGGTTCCAGCCCCAGTGCCCGCTCCTCGTAAGCGCCTTCCAGAGCTCGCTCCAGTGTCGGCTCCAGCCCCAGAGCTCGCTCCAGTGTCGGCTCCAGCCCCAGAGCTCCTGAGGCAACCTGAGTCCCCTGTTCCGCCATGGCCTCCCGAGTCCCCGGCTCCACCATGGCAACCTGAGCCCCCTGTTCCGCCATGGCCTCCTGAGCCCCCTGATCTGCCATGGCAACCCGAGTCCCCTGTTCCGCCATGGCCTCCCGAATCTCCGCCTCGGGCTCCTCCACCACCTGCTCCGCCGCCGTTGGACGATCCTCCTCCTAGTCCCCCTCCGCCCCTCCCTCTGTTTCTACGGCACGAGGACGCACCTTCCAGGTGGGGGGAGTACTGTAACGCCCCTGTGGACTGTTTGTTGTGGTTTCTTCCCTTTGTGTTGGTTTAGCCCGTCTAATCATTAGTTAATCACCGTCATTGTGCTCACCTGTCTGCCTCTAATTATTCACCCCATATTAGTTCCTGTCTGTCTGAGCATTGGTGTCGGTTACTGTTAATGTTACCCCGAGTGTGTGTCTCACCTACCTGAACCTGCCTTGTTGTGTCTACAATAAATGTCATTATTGGAATCCTTGTCGTCCTGCCTGCCTCCACACACCCGTTTCCGTGACATCTTGGAGCTGTATGGAAAACTTTTATATTTATTTTGTGTTACCAGCGTAACTATATGTTAATTTCAAGTAATATTTATGTATTTATTTGTTTACTTATTGACGTATTTTATTTATTTATAATTACTATAATTATAATTTATTTTTAATTATTTATACTTTTTATTCATTAATATTATATTTATTTTTTAAGTAATTTTTTGATAATTGTCTGTGAAATCCTACCTTGAAATATGGTTTCAATTAAGCATCGCTCTTATGGATGGACTTACTCTGTTATTAAAACATGAATAGAGATTCATTAATATAAATATATAATATTCTATACACACAGACACACATATATGTAAGTAATGCCTGGAAAGATATTTCAACATGTGAGCTAAATTGGTCCCTAAGGTGTAATTTAGCGTGTATAAATCTTCTTCCAACAGGCAATTAGGACTACAGTAGTCAATCACATTCATCTTGTGAAGTGTTTGAAAAGGTGACCTGTAGGTTAACTACAAAAGGGAGCGACTTAAAGCAGCTTGGTTCATTTTTAATGCACCAAAGCAATTTATTCATCCAAAGTAGTCGTATAAATAAGCTTTGTTCTTTGCATACGTTTATAAATATATAATATTCTATACACACAGACACACATATATGTAAGTAATGCCTGGAAAGATATTTCAACATGTGAGCTAAATTGGTCCCTAAGGTGTAATTTAGCGTGTATAAATCTTCTTCCAACAGGCAATTAGGACTACAGTAGTCAATCACATTCATCTTGTGAAGTGTTTGAAAAGGTGACCTGTAGGTTAACCACAAAAGGGAGCGACTTAAAGCAGCTTGGTTCATTTTTAATGCACCAAAGCAATTTATTCATCCAAAGTAGTCGTATAAATAAGATTTGTTCTTTGCATACGTTCAAGTAGTCTTTGAGGGCTTTTCTAGTTTATGCTGCATATGATGTTCTCATTTCCTAATGCTTTAAAACAGAATCGTTATATAACATACTGTTTTTTCCCCCAGCATTTTGAAAATGAGGCGTACCTTGCAAACTGATTGGCCAGCTCGTCTTGAACACATGTATCAGGCTGTTCAGCCCATTGCACATCCCTCCCTTCCTTTTCTTTCTTATCACCTCCACAGAGACATTCAATCCTATTTCTCACATATTAAAGCTCTTATATGAAATGGAAGTCTCCAGTCACCTGCACTCCCTCCCTCCTTTCACTCTCTTCATTCATGTTTTTCATTCTGCGCTCTCCATCTGATCTCTCTGCCATCACTGCCGCTAATAATTTTTTTATCTGCTTGCTGAGATCACGAGCCTCTGACGTTCTCAACCGGTTTTGCTTCAGCATCTTTAGAAAATGTTACATTAGGTATTATATGGTGATCCAGCACAGTACCAGTATTTATCTTGTTGCTTACCTATTGTTTGCTTTCGAAATGCCTGTTGAATTTTATTGGTTTCATGCTTTCGGCAGGCAGTGATTCACTTTATCCTCACTGCAAGTGAACCTGTATTTAATGCAGTGTGGGTTGTGTTTTCTTTACTTTGTGTAGTTTTGGGGATGTCATGCAGCCTGTCCATGTTGATATTTCCCCTAATTGGCTAGCATCTGTGACAGATTAATTTAAACCAAAATAGCATTGAGTTTAAGGAGACATGCATCGTTTTACATAAATAACAGAAGAAATGTGACATTTTATTCTTCCATTAAGCAGAGGTGGGCAAACTATGGCCCACCGGGCACTTTCATTCGGCCCATGAGGCAGCTGGTCCAAAATTACTAATTTGATGTAATATCAACAAAACCCCAAAACAGCAAACAAAAATAAATCATAATTCATGCTAGTATGCAGACTAAGGCAGATATGAAAGAGAGAGAGATTAAGCATGTGTGAATTACCAGAGTTCTGCATGTTCGTCTCTCAACATTTTTTGGCAGCAGCATCTCTACCAATAGTGAATCTGTAAGTGAACCTTCTTCAAAAACAGTGGGATTATTGAGAAATACCATGTAGCTTTTCAGTTGCAAAACTGTTTTACTGATAAAGTTTCTGTGCACATTTGTTGCACATGTGCTCGTAGCCGTGTGTCTGTACTGTATGTGTGTGTGTGTTTGTTGGAGAGAGTGGAAGAAACAAAGAAAGATACGTGTGAGAGAGAGCGGGAGAAAGAAAGTGTGCTTTTCATAGGTAGGCTAAAAAAAAGTAATTTCGTGGGGAAAACATGGAAATAGTTTGTCCTTTTTATGTGATTATTTATTAGCTTTATTTATTTGCTTAGTCAATGTGTATTTGGATTTTGGTTCTTCTGCTGTTTTCAGGATTATAAATCAAGTTTTTTTTATCTTCTGAAACGTGCTGCGATTTATATTCCAAAGCCACTTATATAAAGCAATCAACGTCAAGCGCAAAGAATGCACATTTGGATTGTTGCATTTCCCACACGCTGCTAGTTTCAGTTTCGCTTTAAATTTAATTTGTTTAGGCTTGGCGTTTATAATAAATATTGTTTATAGTGACTATAATTTTTGGTTGTTTTATACTTATATTTTTCCTTCCTTTTTCTGTTCTGAATGCTGCAAAATGTAAAGGAATTGTTGTGGAGGGAGGGGAACAAAAATACATATTCATAATGTTTTATTTACATGAAATTATAACAATATATATCAATTGACTTATATATGCTCATGAAAAAACAAGTTAGAGATGGTACAAGAATAGAACTGCCATGTATACTTCCATGTACAAGTACACATACAGAACAGTAGTAACTGAGTGTCAATTAATTAATTATATATATCCCGTTAACATTCCTGTTAAATTAGCCTAAAATGTCTAAAAAAGGCATGCCCAACGTAAATTGCATGCTGAACCATTTGGAGTATATGCATGGTTTTGGTCTCTTTTTTTCCTAAACAGAACAAACCTCAGAATCACTGTAAGTCTTAATGGTATTGAGTAATAGAACTTTGAACACACTGACAAAGGAAAAAAAACATTCCACCTACATTTTTTTTGTAAACAGATGCCTGCAGATGACTATGGCTGGGAGCTATTAGGTGGAAAACACAATGGGATCACAGCATGAAGCCTTGTTGGCGGTCTGACAAAGACACTGACTGTACCTGCTGTGTTGATTGTATGAAAAATACATATTCAGCAGATCAGCTCAATAGCTTCTATTTAGTCTCGTCAGTTAAGATTTCCCCAGTTGTTGCATAATATTACATGGTATAATGGTTAATGCAGACATTCACTTGAACTTACTTTCTCATTGGCTCTAGTGCAGTCAGAGAAGTATAATAAGGATGATGTCCACTGTCTTGGACTCCAAGCTCTGCACAGTGTTCACAGGTGTCTGAGGATTAACATCTGACATTTCTTCAGCGATGATAACACTTCTCTTGAATATTACAACACACAGAAATATTAAAAGCAATTTGTGGCATGTTAAGAGAAACAATCAGTTATTCCTGTGTGTCTCTACATGCTGAGTGAAGAAGCAACTAAAGTAGCAACAGAAGTTATAAACTGTGATTCTGTGTTGTAGTCAGTTACATGTGTTTTGGCAGAGGTGAGCACCTGTACAAGTCTGCTTACATTTAGCAACTGTAAAAGCAGGACAGAGCTATTGCAGATAGTCTCAGACATACTGATTAGGGATGGGCGATATGGGCTTAAAAATATATCACGATATTTCTGGTATTTATTGCGATAACGATATCAATGGCGATAATTCAGGGAATCCTGTTTCTTTAGAGAAAAGTATTATCTTTCCTATTTTTACCCAAAATAGGGTGTTGTGAGCATTAATGAGTACGTAATGTAAAGACTGTTTAATTCATACTGGAAGCCGGAGGGCCCTCTTGCACAGAAACTCCACATATCCATAGCAGAAGTAATACTACTGACGACGCTCCAGGAAGGCAGAGCCGTTGAGAAACAGAGTTGCGACACGCTTTGATCTCGCCACCACGCGGTCACATGGTTCATGGAGCTCTCAATAGTTCCAAACAACTCTGCGCTGTCAATATGTTTGAATGGGTTTAAGTAGTGGTCGACCGATATATCGCCACGGCCGATATTTGGCATTTTTCAAATATCGGCATTGGCCGATAAGTTTTTCCTGGTTGGCCGATGCTTTCGAGGCGTGACTTTTATTTTGACAGCGCTGAGAACGGCAGCATTGTCATCTAAAGTATAAGTATGTTTATTTTACACATTTATTTTAAATCCATTTTCAAATGAGTTCAATTTTCTTAAATATTATTTAAAATAAATACAATTATATCGGCTTTATATCGGCCATCGGCCACCCTGCTTTTTAAACCACTAGGTTTAAGCAGGATAGACAGCAGTTTCACTTTATTTGCAGCAATTTCTAGTGATTATTAATACATCATGTGCATTGATTGTGTACTGATAACTACGCTGACTACGTTTTACAATCGCATTTTATTCTGGGGAGTGATGAAGAGACAGCATTCATATTTTTTTCTAATATGCTTATTATTTATATTACAATTAGCGTAGTATTTAGGGTTAAAATAGAGAAAATGTTTTTAAATTCCAGTGCAAAGAGGCAAATTAGAGACGTTTGGTGGCCAGAAAAAATAATATTCCTATGTAATGCCATAGTTTAACCACTAGATGCCCGTATGGCTGTTTAATAAATATAGCCTACATTACTCTAGTTGCTGTAAGGAGTTTTACCGGTCATAATAGCTTATTTATTTTATGTTTTGCATTGTATATTTAGACATTATCAAACATTCAATGTTTATAAGTTTAGCTTTTTTAAAATGTTGAATTAAAAAAGATTAATTACTCGCATCCCATTTTATGACATTTATGTAAGAAGATAATATAAGTGAATGTTAAAAAAGGCCAGCAAATACGGAATTTAACCCACTAAAAAATTTAAATAACAGTTAAAAAAACACAAGGCAACCAACTGCATTCAGGGAAACTCTTTCTTTTTTATGACATTTATGTAAGAAGACAATATAAGTGAACGTTAAAAAAGGCCAGCAAATATGGAATTTAACCTAATAAAAAATTTAAATAACGTAAAAAACAAAAAAAAACAAGGCAACCAACCACATTCCGAAACTCTTTCTTGTTTTCCTTTAATAGGCAGTCTTCACTGAAACTCATTCAACTTCCTACAGGGAGAGAAAGATTGCAGAAAGACTAAAAACTAAAAAATATGACAACTAGCATCTGGTTTTGATCGCTATTAAGGTGTTTCTCACGTTGTCTAACTGCAAATATAGCATAACTGCCTATTATCTAAAACAAAACATTAACTATAACGCGTTTCGTAAAATACAACTACTGGCCAGATTTCTGAGAGGTAAACTAATGCGTTAAAATGCCAAAAACTGCTGTAATTTCCTCAACGTTCTGACCAGTGTGCTCGAGAAGCACTGAAATGAATGGGCTTCAATACAGGAACTATTGGTTGTTTGGAACTATTGGCTGCTCCATGACACACTTTACTTCCGCATTCCTCAGTTCCTATGGAAGCCTATGGGAGTGTCGCAACTCTGTTTCTCAACACCTCTGCAGGAAGGTATCCAGTTATCGCTGAATAAAATGCACAATGGAGATATAGACATTTTAACTGATCAAACTTGAGGAAAATAAACATACGATTGCACAAAATATATGGTTTATCTGTGTTCTTCAATCTTGTGTATTTTTATAAGGAAAGTAGAAGTATTTCAAACACTCGACTATGTTATTAAGTTAATTTGGAGAAAAAGCATGTCAATAAATTATATCTTATTTGGACAACAGGTTTGTAAACAGGCTCATACACATGCAAAACTATTGCACACGTGCTACTGTAGGACAGACCGATATATCGTTTTGCCGATTTTATCGGCCGATATGAGCCTTTCCAGATATACAGTATCGGTATCGGCGAATATGCCGCTGATATGCCACCGATATGAAATCTTTTTTACAGAACATAAAACGCAGATCCTCGAGCTGAAGGGATCCCCCGAATTTGGTGAAGATCCGCCGCCACGTTTGCGAGATAGTGACACCAGCCAACACTTTCACATTTAGTAAGGAGTTCTTTTGTTTAGGCAGCAGCATTCAAGAGTTGTCTTATTTGTGCCCTGCGAAGTGGACTTCACATGATATTCCACCATGATTCCAGTTCCAAGGGAACGTACACGTTATATTCAAAGGGCATTAAAGTGCGTGAGATGTGAATTTATATTGTATTTATTTGACTGTACTATAATATACACAAAGAATATCGGACGATATATCGATATTGGCCTTTTTGTTAAACTCCCTAATATCGGTATCGGTATCAGCCCCCAAAAAACCCATATCGGTCGGGCTCTAATATTAATATGATTGCAGTACATTCTCATCGGAAATATCCCTGAAACTAGCTTATGTATTTAGTTAACTGCGGTTATTTGAAAACAGCAATTAGAATTATAATACTAATAGTACAAACAATTCCTCTTCACCCTTAGGCCTGTCACAATAATCAATATATCGACTTATCGCACAATATATGTACATGACCTCATTATTTTGCCCATTATATTTACATAAAAAATAATGTCGCCTGTGTGTTGTGCAGCTTCTCGTACATAACGTGGTGTAGTTGGTGCAAGTTCAAATTTAAAATATGCTTCTACAAAAAAGTTTCATCTGCAGATATGGCCTTGTTTAGGGATCTGTGCTTTTGTGCATATGGACATCTGACTGATAAGTAGGGATTGTGTTTTTCAGCAATACAGTGCACCCTTAATTTACAGAGAAAAGAAGGTCTGGGAAAAATCTGTAGATGGAAAAATCTCCATAAAAGTTATTTGTGAATTTTTCTTTTTTCTATTTGTTACTTTGCACTTTTAGTTAGAAAACGTTTATTTACTATTTATTCGAGTTTTTTAAGGTAAACACTATAGGCTCACATAACTGTACTTAGATCAAAAATCCAAAACATCTTCATTTATTAGCTTTAGGTGGTAAGCACACTGAAAGTTTTCGGGCAAAGCAAGAAAGCCACGTTAGCTGCAGTCTCGCATGCAAATGTAACTTTTGGCAAGTTATTTTTATGAGCGCCTGCTAAGTAAAATACTAAAATGTAAATGTGCATTGATGCTTACAAGAAACATTTAACAAAAATGATACCATACATCCACATCTCTTGGTAAATAATCCATTGTTATTTGCACAGCCCACAGCACAGCAGATAGACGTCATGTTGCAATTTGATCCTACAAATGGCGGCTGCACCACTGTGTGACGTCACTTTAAAAACCTTTTTAAAGTGACTTACATAGCATTCAGTGAAAACATTTTATTAAGTTATACTTTCCTTGAGCACTGAAATCTCTATTCTATTCTATTCTGTTCTGTTCTGTATTGACATTTACATTTGATATTTATGCTGTGAATACATTTTATTAATTCATACATTCCTTGAACATTGAATCCTCTTTCGTCTACTATATTCTACTCTACTTTACTCTACTTTATTATATTCTATTCTATTCTGTATTGACATTTATATTTGGTATTTATGCAATGAATACATTTGATTAATTTATGCATTCCTTGGACATTGAATTCTCTATTCTAGTCTAGTCTAATCTAGTATAGTCAATGCCAATCTTAAGTATCAAAAATCAGTTAAAAAATGAAATCTTGTCCAATTATTTTTTAGATTATATTTATGGGCTTTTATGAATGCTTTTATTGGAAAGTACAGTGAATATTATATTGTGAATCTATTGGGAGGATGAAACTATTGGAATGGGATCAGACAAGATACAGGTTTAAACAAAACCTCATGTATACCAAGCTCTGACTGTTCAGTGGTTTTTATTGTATTTTTAGGCATTAAAGACAAAGTGAAGATGATATAAAGCAAAAGGCAAGCACATTGACAGTTCTAGTCTGTATCCATTATCTTTGTTCTTCATCATTTCCTTCCTCTTACTTTGATCCATCTCTCCTCCACTCTCTTTTCTTATTCCTAGCCTTTTATCCCTTCCCTTGGAACAGTCTGGCTTTTCCATCTTCTCACTATCATCTTTTCTTTTAAACTTGAAATTCTTAACCTCACAT